ATTGTTAATGTTAAGCTAACATTAAGTATAACATAATCTTTAAGGAAGCCCAATGTTAATCATTCTTGGCAGATGCATTGAATAAAGCGGACGTGTTATAATAAAAAGTGCCTAAAGTATTAAATATACCGGTCGTCTCACAAATTCAGAAGTGGGATAAATCTACGCAATGGACGATATAAACTTCAACAATTTCTCGGTTGTTCAACTAAAAAGATGGCTTTCCGCGTTGGGAATGCCAACTCAAGGTCTTAAGGCCGAATTGATGGCTCGTCTTGGGCGTGTTCCTCCCGAGGAGCGCGGCCAGGCACCACGCGAAGACGCCAACCCAAATTCTGGAGAAGATCGACCCGTTAACGAGGATTCCGAAGAAGATCAACCCGCTAACGAAGATTCCGAAGAAGTTCAAGGCAACGCCTCCGCCCATCAACTTCAGGGCGCCGAGGGCAACGTGAACATCGCACCAGCGGCTTCTCAGAGGGTGTTCTCCCTGAGATGCCCTTGAGCAACATGAACTTCTTGCCATCATAAGGCAGCTGCAGGCAGAAGTAAGTGCGCATCGCAATTTGTTGCAACAAGCGCAGACACGTGGCGCCGCACAACAACAAGCAGCTGACAATAGTGGCAACCTCGGAGACTCGAACATTCTACCGCGGTCGCAAATGCATGCATCGTCTGGCAACCCTACCAGTCTGATCGTGCTACCGACCTCAGACGACAATGCATCTGGTGGCGGCATTACAAGCTCAAACGTTTTGCCAGCCCTGCAAGGCATTGCATCGAGTGGCAACAGCAGTGGTTTGGCAGTATTCGGCTCAACGAACAACAACACCGCCGTTTTCAACGCCGACGGAGCTGCCAGCCGAGCTGCATCAGCAACATCGTTATCTTTCGCCAAAGAAGCAGCCATAGACTTTGACGAAAACATGTGTGCTCGCACCTGGGTGGAGCACCTTAAGAACATTGGTCAGGTATATGTTTTGGCCGACGACTGTCTAAGGATGCTGTTCATCACCAAGCTGAAGGGAAAGGCACAGCGTTGGTTACATGCCAACCCCACTAGAATGCTGGAACCTTTCGAGAGGCTATGCGAGCAGCTGATTATGGCCTTCGGGCAATGTCTTCAAAATCCGAGCAGCGTCGCAAGTTCGAGCAACGGAAATGGCAACAAACCGAGCGTTTTGCCATGTACTTCGAAGACAAGATGATGTTGGCTCAACCCATCAACCTGGAGACAGATGAGCTTTTGAACAAATCATCGAAGGAGTGCCATCAGCCAATTTAAGGGATCAAGCACGCATTCAACGATTCGCCAACCCGGAGCAGATGCAGCAAGCCTTCCAAATATCTGCCTCCCGCAGATAATCGAGACCAACGCAGCGAAGAAGACATCTATGGAGGCCTCTGGAAACAACGAATTGCGCTGCAGAAACTGTAACTCCAAGGGCCATTTCGCAAAGGATTGCCGCAAGCCAAAAAGGGCTCCCGGATCTTGTTTCGCATGTGGAGAAATGGGGCACTTCGTAGGGCAATGCCCTAAGAGGAAGAGCGCCAGCGACAACAACAATTATGTAAGATCTATGCAAATTTATTTCGTTTCGTTTTCTAATGTACCAATTATTGCAGAATGTCTCATAGACTCAGGCAGCGCGATTTCATTTATAAAACTTTCCAAAGTCCCATATGGAATACACATTACTAAAGTTAAGACTTCATATTTTGGTATAAATAAGAGCCAACTTAATGTAAAAAGGAAAAACTTTGTGTTTTATCATGAAGAAAGGAATAAAAATTTGTTTTGATTTAATAATTGTCGCTGATGAGTCCATGAGCCATGATGCAATTCTGGGAAGGGATTTCATGGATATCTTTGGTTTAAGCATTAATCTAGACACCCTTGACACTATTAAGGATAGTAGTTGTAATATTAACAAAAATAACTCACTGTCTCACACTTGCAACTTGAACCTTTATTGTGGAACGAAGGATCAACGACATAGTATGGCTGATTTATCTGAAGATGTTTGTACGGATTGTCTAGGACATTTAACTGGAAATGAAACTTTTAAGAAGCAACTCGTAGGAGAAGAGACTGTTAAGAACGAACTATTAGAAAATAAAACTGTTAAGGAGCAACTGTTAGGAAATGAAACTTTTAAGGAGCAACTGTTAGGAAATGAAGCTGTTAAGGAGCAACTGTTAGGAAATGAAACTGTTAAAGAGCAACTGTTAGGAAATAAGACTGTTAGGGAACAATTAATGGAAGGAGATACTGTTGAGAAGCAACTCGTAGGAGAAGAGACTGTTAAGAACGAACTATTAGAAAATAAAACTTTTAAGGAGGAACTGTTAGGAATACAAACTGAAAAACTGACAAAGAGCATTTTAGCAGAAACGTTTGATGAGGATATGTTAGGCATCAACATAGTTGATGATCATTTCCCGGATTATAGCATTGGTAATGAAATCGACTACGAAACCAAGTGCAGGTTTGTCAAAATGTTTAAAACGTTATACGGTACTGCAAAAAGACCAGAAATACCTTTTATCAGATGTGAAATGAAAATTAACATAGAAAAATCGAAGCCGTTTAGTTGTTCACCTAGGAGGCTATCATATAGTGAAAAGGATCAGCTTCAGAAAATGTTAGACGAATACCTAGATAAAGGCATTATAAGAAATAGCGACTCGGAATATGCTTCCCCAATCGTGTTGGTAAAGAAGAAAACTGGTGATCTTAGATTGTGCATAGACTATCGCAAGCTTAATAAAGTTCTAATAAAAGACAACTATCCTCTGCCTTTAATAGATGACCTCTTGGATAAGCTAGTCAATAAAAGTGTATTTTCAAAGCTCGATCTGAAAATGGATATTTCCACGTATTCGTGAGCAATGATTCGATAAAGTATACGTCTTTGTGACTCCTTTAGGACAGTTTGAATTTTTGAGGATGCCCATGGGAATAAAAAATGCTTCAGCCGTTTTTCAACGCTTCGTAAACAAGATTTTTTCCGATTTGATCAGAGAAAATAAAGTTATTGTATATATGGATGACATAATGGTAGCCAGCACAGATATAGAGGAACATTTAAGTACATTAAAGGAAGTATTTATACGTTTAGTTAATAATAGGTTAGAGCTGCGGCTGGATAAGTGTGAGTTTATGCAGTCAAGCATAAAATATTTAGGATTCTTCATAACTAAAGAAGGAATTAGAGCAGATGATAGAGGTCTTGACGCTATTGAAAACTTTCCGATCCCAGAAAAATTACACAACATTCAAAGCTTTTTGGGTTTATGCTCATATTTCAGACGCTTTATAAAAGATTTTTCTATTTTAGCCAAGCCACTTTACGATATGTTAAGAAAAGATAAGGACTTTACGTTTACAGAGAAAGAGTTTAATTGTTTTTTAAATCTTAAGAAAAAACTAATCGAGTCCCCTGTCTTGGCTATTTATGATCACAAAGACGATGTCGAGTTACATTGCGATGCAAGCTCTTTAGGATTCGGTGCAGTTTTAATGCAAAAGAAAGGGGATGGAAAATTTCATCCCGTATTCTATTTCTCAAAGCGAACAACAGAAACAGAGTCCAAGTACCACAGCTTTGAGCTAGAAACATTGGCTATCATATACGCCCTTCGCAGATTTCGAATTTACCTTCACGGAAGGCATTTTAAGATAATAACCGATTGTAATTCTTTAACCCTTACTTTAAATAGGGTCGACCTAAACCCTAGAATTGCCCGGTGGGCACTCGAACTTCAAAATTTTGATTACGAAGTAGTTCATCGATCGGGAAATAAAATGCAGCACGTAGATGCTCTAAGTAGGTGTCATATATTGACGATTGAGGCCAATAGTTTTGAAGATAATCTGTTAATCTGTCAATCAAAAGATTCAAAAATTTTACAAGTTCGAGACCAGCTAGAGAAAAATCAACTTAAAATGTTTGAAATGAGAAACGGGGTCGTGTACAGAAAATGGAACGACGACAGATTGTTATTTTATGTCCCTGAAGAAATGGAGAGTCATATTTTACATAAATATCACAATGAACTTGGACACATTGGTAGAGATAAAATGTTAGACGCTATTTTAAAAACATATTGGTTTGATAAAATGAAAGAGAAGTGCAGTAGTCACATTGAAAATTGCCTAAAATGTGTTGCATTTGCACCAAAAACGGGGAAATCAGAAGGTTTTCTGCATAGTATTCCGAAAGGGGATAAGCCATTCGAGTTGCTGCATATCGATCACTACGGACCAGTGGATAAAGGAAGAGCAAATAAACACATATTTCTGATTGTAGACGGGTTTACTAAGTTCGTAAGACTGTACACAACTAAGACAACAAATACAAAAGAAGTTTTAAAAGCATTAAGCGACTACTTCAGGGCTTATAGCACACCAAAGTCGATTGTATCAGACAGAGGTAGTTGTTTTACCTCTAATGATTTCGAACAATTCTTGTCTCAGAGGAACGTAAAGCACTTGAAAATTGCAACAGGGTCTCCACAAGCCAACGGACAGGTGGAGCGTATAAACAGGAGCATTGGCCCTATGATTGCAAAACTTACAGAACCAGAAAACGGTGCACATTGGGACACAGTAATTGAGCAAGTAGAATATACCCTTAATAACACTATACATAGAAGCATTAAACAGGTCCCGAGCAAGATGCTTTTGGTGTTCAACAGAAAGGAGAGATCGTAGATGAGCTTAGAGAAAAATTAGAAGAAATAAAAGATACGATTGTTACTGAAAGTTTAGAGGAAATTCGACTAAAAGCAATAGATAATCAAAATCAAGCACAGGCATACAATAAAACTTATTTTGACAAGAAAAAGAAAAAGGCCAAGGACTACGGAAAGGGGGATTACGTCATGGTAAAAAAACTTTGATAGCACAGCAGGAGTTGCGAGGAAGTTGATCCCCAAGAATAAAGGACCATATGTTATAGCCAAAGTGCTTCGGAACGACAGGTTCTTGTTGCAAGACGTTGAAGGCTTTCAAGTATCGCGAAATCCGTACAAGGGTGTCTGGAGTGCTCAAAATATAAGACCATGGATAGGAAAAAGGAAAACATTGTAAAACATAAGATTACATAACTTTGTATTAGATAAGAGTATTGAAATTAAGTTTAATCTTTAGTTTTAAGAATCTCATTGGATCAGGGGATCAAGCTTAATATAGCGACGTCGGATTTCACATTTTTATTATAACACGTCCGCTTTATTCAATGCATCTGCCAAGAAAGATTAACATTGGGCTTCCTTAAAGATTATGTTATACTTAATGTTAGCTTAACATTAACAATCGATAGTTTATCGGGCGTAAGGTTGCCTACTACAAGTACTGCAGGAAATGTAAACGCCGAGATATTTATGACACTTTAAAGGCTGCTTTAAGCGAGTCCTTTGAGCCGCTTCAACTCCCAAGGACTTTGGCAATTAAAAATGCGGCGCGGGCTTATCGCACGCGCCACGACAAGTGTTGTGTTCGCCGTTGGTTAAAAAGTTTTCCGCAATTTCCACGCCCCGAGTCGCCAGCAAAAAGGTGTCGAAAGTTTAGGAGCAAGTTTTCGCCGCAGGACTTGTTATCCTGCGCCAGCGAGCTGGCTTTAATCCCGCTTGGCTCGCCATTATTGCCGCTGATAAGAAATAAGTGTTCACAAAATTTATTTGGTGCGGTGCTAAGAACAAGGCAATTAGCAAGCTAATCAAATAATCCGCTGCTAATTGTTGAAAGGAGTTGGCGCAAGGGTATGAGCTTTAATTTAATCTTACAGCTCCTGCTTTTGTCTTCTCCACCTCCAGATCATTTATATTTAGCCACCTCCTTCTTCAGGATGTAAAACAGAACGAAAGCCATTTCTATCATTGCGAGCAGCTGCAGACCAAGGATCAGAATCATTTTTAGGTGCACTGTGACGTAATCCTCCACCGCCAGCATCGCAGGTGACGTCAGAAGCTCCTTTATATTTTGGGTAGTGCTCCAGAAACAGCTGATATACTGCAGCAAATAGGGCATCACAAAGATGAACTTGAAGTTACGTTGCTGCCGGGTTGTAAACATTTTGAAGGGCAGCAGTAGAATCATCATCGTAATTAGAGTATATAGATTGGCCTCAATAAAGGCCCGAGTTAAGCTGGAGATCTGCAGTCTTAACACCGATTGACTCGAACCAAGATAGAGTCGAGGGCAAAGCTGCATTCCCCAAGCGGCGGTCATCAACGCAAGATAAGTGCCGAAGGGTCCCATTATTCTTAAATAAATACAAATATAAGTTTTATTCTAGATATCCCGATTTGGGGTTGTCTAATGTGACATAAAACACGTGACAAGTCTGATTGTTTTAAATATTACTTTACTTATGTTATACACGCGTAAGTCTTAGATTTCATGTGATAACCTTAATTGACTGTCTGATATCATAAATACATTTTGCCAGAAATACTTGCACTTGAGTAATGTTCACACAGTAAATTCTCTATAAAATTCGTATTGCTTAGATAAGAATTTTACTCATGTGCTTAGATACCTAATAACCATTTAGTAAATTTCATTGAACATATAAAACTTACAAAACTTCAAGAGAACATCTTGGAGGAGGCATACAGAACTTTTTTATACTTTATGGCTGACTTTAGAAGCTTGTAAATTGCAGTTAAATCCCTGATTTAATGCTAAGGCAGTAAATTCTTCACCCTTCTCAGTTGGGCAGTCAAAAGTTAACCAGATTGAATGCCACTAAAAGTTTAGCATTTTCCACCGATATTTCACACAGCCATTAACATTTTTGCGAAATATTTTGCTGCCACCCCTGTAGTTCCTCGTTCCCCGTTTCCCCGGTTGGAAATCCACTTTGATGCGCCTTTCATGTCCAGGCCACTTAAGAAAACCTCATACCTTTTTCGGTAGAACAGGACACACGTTGACGCACCTCATGCGGTGACAACGACCAACTCGTGTTCCTCTAATACCCGCGCAAAATATGACCAAAGCCCAGGGCGAAGTCCTTTAAGCACTCGCCACAGGACATAAAAAAGGAACTGAAACTGAAACAGAAACTCCAACTCGAACCGTAGCTGAAACAGGCCTAAACAAAATGTTCGCACTAAGCGCCGCAAGTCAAACAGAAGACAGCGAACAGAAAGCGGGCTGAAATCTCCTCGAGCTCGAGGGAAATTTATGTGCCTCGGGGCGGTAACTTCATTATGCAATGACCTACAATGAAATGGGCTGCCGTTGCACAAAATTTATGTGCAAAGTTGAGAGACAGCCTAAGTACCAAGTGCTCGCCTGCCCAGACAACTCGAACTGCTTGAAGTCTTCGCCCTTTCTTGTTTTTTCGCCCAGCCCGAAATAGTTTGTTTTTTATAGCTGATAAAAAATGAAACAGTTCCCGAGTTGGCCTATTCAATGGGCTCAATGGGCAGTCGTCGCGATAAGTTTACTCTAATCAGGCTGCAATTCTTTGGGCTTCGACAGTTCACCGGTGGCTTTTCAATAGAGCGGTATGTCGGTTAAAATTCTCTTATTCGTGGGACTCATTGGTCTGGTTTTTGGCGTTGAACAAGTCCGATATGATAATTATAAAGTCTACAATGTGAGGATTGATGATCTGGAGCAGTACAAGCTGCTCAATGCTCAGGAAAAAGCCTTGAAGGTGGGTAAAACTTAATAATACCTATAATACCTTTATTTAAATACACTTTTTTTTCACAGCTCAGCAGTTGGCGTGAGGCTCGTCACCTGGGAGAATCCTCAGACATAATGCTGTCTCCTGAGTATCAGGAAACCTTCGAAAACCTCTTGAGCACCCACAATTTCACATATAAACTAAAGATCGAGAATGTGCAGACCCACATCGATGCCCAAAGACCCAAACAGCGTATCACTTCCATGGAGTGGACTCAGTTTCACACTCTTGAAGAAATCAACGCCTGGCTTGATGTGATCGAGGCTCGTTATCCGGATGTAGTAACACCTTTCACCATCGGAAACTCCTACGAGGGCAGGCCCATTAGGGGTGTTAAAATTTCATACAAAGACGGAAATCCAGCGGTTTTCATTGAGTCCAACATTCATGCCCGCGAATGGATTACCTCATCGACGATCACCTACTTTATCGATGAGTTGCTGGTGCCACGGAATCCTGCGGTCAGGGAAATAGCCCAGAATGTAGACTGGTACATCATTCCCGTCCTAAATGTGGATGGTTTTGCCTATTCACACGAATATGTAAGTCGTTTACTTAAGTATTTACGTAATAAAACTATGAATGGAATTGAAAGTGCCGACGACGCGTCGCGATTAGATTTGCGATCAGATCAAATACCTGCCGATATCATTAAAGCGCCGCCCATGTTATCACCTACTACTTTCTACTAATCATTTAACTTTATTAATGACCTATAATCTATATTACTATGACTGGAAGGAACGTCTTTGGCGAAAATCGCGTCTGCCCTCGGATCCCACGGGAAACTGCATCGGAACCGACCTTAATCGCAACTTCGACTTCCTGTGGATGTGTAAGTTAGCCAAAAAAATATTAAGACCCGGACAGAACAAGAGTTTTAGATTAATAGAGGTGATAGACTTATTTCTGGGAACTTTCGATTAACAAAAACAAAACACAATCTTCAGCTGACCATAAATTAATATAATGTTTTAACCAAAAACTTAAACAAATGATTGCATTTTCATAGGTAATTTTGCTTTAAGTGGTTAGTATAGAATTCCGATTTGATACCTACTTCAAAGTACAATTAAATTTACAATACAAAAATAGTTTTTACATATTTTAAAGAATGTATTTAAAGTCTTAAAATTCATTAATATGGATTTCATTATTAGTGGCTGGTGCCGAATCGGATCCTTGCTCAGAGATCTACGCAGGACCTTCAGCAGAATCTGATCCCGAAATCAGCCAACTAACTTCCTACATAAACAACTCCATACCTGATGGCAGCATTAAGATCTACATTTCGCTGCATTCCTATGGACAGTACGTGCTTTCGCCTTGGGGACATACCGCTGCTGAGTTCCCCGAACACTATCCCCAGATGATGCATGTGGCCAAGGGTTTCTCGGATGCTCTATACAGGAGATATGGCACCGTATTCACCTACGGATCCAGTGCCACAACATTATGTAGGTTGTCTCGCATTGTAGATTACCGTATATTAATGTATCAAATTTTCCAGATGAAGTCTCTGGTTCGGGCAAGGAATGGGCCTATGCGGTGAAGAACATCAAAATACCCTATACAATTGAGCTGCGCGATAAGGGTCTTCTTGGCTTTTTACTTCCACCAGAGGATATTTTACCAGTGGCCCGCGAGGTGACTGAAGGATTTGTTGGCATGATAGCCGCTGCCCGAGAAATCGATATATTGTAATATATATATTGTATTTGTTGGGAATAAAATAAAGTATTACTCATTTGGACAGCCAGAAGTGCAATAACTCAATTTCCAAAGTTTAGTTTTTGACAATAGTAAGTTTCCAAAATAAAATCGAGCAAAATCTTAAATCATAAAGCCAAAAAAAATTAAATTTGTTTTGAATATTTTATATCTTCAAATCAGTATAATCAGATTGAATTAAAAAGTAATTATTAATTTATTTAATTTTGCTTTTGCAGAATTTAGTTTTAAGTTATTAAATAAAAATCTGATTTCCAACGTATTAAATAATAGGACTTATTTTCAGACAAGTTCACGTACTTTTTATTTTTAGACAAAAATTAACCCCCCTTTGAATTGGAAGTCCTCCCCCTTTTGGTGGCGCCACTGCGTCCAGAGCTTTTGCTCCGCCCCAAAAACGAGTAGGTTGCCGAAGCTTCCAATCAGCGACGTCGCATCGTTTTTGGGGGAAAGCGGAAAAGTCGGGAAAGTGGGGAAAGCGAGTACTGCCGAACGGGAAACAGTCCGTTGAAAGGGAAGAGCCCCGGCTGCATTCAGTGCTTTCTTTGGCTTTTTTTCCGGGCTGTGTTTCCGTTGTGCTCCTCGCAGCGCCAAGTGTTGGTTTTGTTTATTCTTTTTTTTTTGCCAGTTGGGCAGAGAGTCTCCGCCTCTTTTCAACGCGCGCGCAGCATCCTGTTGGACAAGGACGAGGCTGCTCCACCGTTGGATGCCCATCCATATCTGTATATACACTCCATTCCGCTCCTACACGTATGTGCGCGGGAAAAACAATCGCAACGAATGGCAAACGACCAGCGAAAATCTTCAGATTGTCCGCAATATGGCGTCAGTCTTCTTGATACATAGGGTACATATACAGTACATAAGATATATATAGGATATATGGGAACCTCTCACATAGTCCTTTTACTCTTGTTGTTGTGTACGCTTGCACTTATTTTTTTCAATTTGTCTAATGAAATTGCGTTTTCCACTTGCGTCGCTGGCGTCCAAAAATAAAATGAAAATGACAGCAAGAAAGGGAAATAAAATGGCACGAAAAATCTTGGAAAATTCGAGAAAATATAACGTTGACACTTTTTGCGATGGCTCCTTGACTGTGCGTCCTGTGTGTGCCTGTCCTCATCCTCTTGTGTCCCATGTCCTGTGTCCTGTGTCTGCCTTTTCACTCACTGTTCCCTCTGCATATAAATTGAAATTTACTAACCTCACTGTCTCCTCTTCTGCTGTTGTCAGTTGCACCTTTATGACAATTTTCCTGCCACTGCCACAGCCACTTCTTTTTTCCAGAGTTTTCTTCATTTTTTTGTTAGTTGTGTGTTGCGCATATTGCGGTGATGAATTTTTCTCTTTGAGTTATATGGAAAGAATGCTACAGAGTTGAGGGAAATGGGGCCCTAACTGAAGCTAAACCGGTAGCAATAAAAACTTACTTAGCCAAATTGCAGAAAGCTCGAAGTTTGGGTCTTAAAGTGAAAACTTCTAATTTGTATAAGGAAGTTGTCCGAATAAGATTTACTGGCACTAAAAATTTATGAATTCATTTGTATAAACTTACATTGAAAATATACACAAATTTAGTACTTTATCTTCAAAAGCTTATATACAAATTAGATAATAAAATTGTAAGAAACGCCTGTAAGTTAACAACCTTTTTTAAATTTTCAACACTTATTAATAAATCATTAAAACCACTTATTCCATTCCGAATAAACTGATAAGCAATTAAAAGCTCCTAGAAACATTCAGACTTTTTTATTGAAGTCTAATTAGCCCAATTGCATTTTTAAACAATAAATCCAAGCCAGTACCTACCAGTGACTCATTCAGTTTGACCAGCAACTCCCCTCTGAATAACAATTATTTATCCAAACACCACCTCTAATTTGATAATTCAATTATGCATTTCAATTCCCCCGACAGCCAATCAAGAAATCAAATCAAAGTGGATTGATTTCGGTCACATGGAGCAGAACCCGAAAAAAATGGCTTTAATTGCTGCCAAGGCAATAAACTTCAACGGCAATTGACGCTTGACACTTTGAGCGCTTGAGAACGGCCAACCAGCTGCGGCATTGGAGCTCTCGGAAAAGAAAGGAAATATGGTCTGGACCATAGACTATGGGCTATGGGCTGTGGGTCTTTGGGCAGGGAAAGTATGACGACGGTTATACTTGGATATTCCCAACGCGCGTCATGAAGCTGCGGCGTCTGCGCCTTTTTTGGACGTTTGGCAATGCGATGGGATCGCATTGGAATCGAATGGGTCGAGATGATCGCATAGTGCTGCGATGGCGCTCGAATGGAGATCCCCTGTACGGTACGGTACGGTACGGTACGCCTACCACTACCAGGAGTTATGACAGTCCGCGGAGCTGCGATCCTTAAATGGCACAGCGAAGCCTCCGTTTATGGACCGACGACACAGAGACGACGACTAAGACGCTGGCGTGTTGACAATGATGTTGGATGATTGGTGTTTTGTGCCCGTTTCGCAGGAAAGCCAAGGGTTCCCGTTTTCCCGGGAATCAAACGGAGGAGACAAGAAGGCTCTCTGCATCGCATCGCATCGCATCGCATTGCGTCGAGTCGTCTTAAGTCTCCAGTCTTCTTCGAGTCGCCTTTGCTGCCTTATATGCAACGTCTAGACAGGCTGGAAAAAATCACAGCAAAATCGGAATCAGAATCATTCAGGCAATGCCAAGTTTGGCGCGGAGGCCTTCCTTCAATGATTGCCCCCATGAATGAATGAATCCGAGGGACTCCGCAGTCGCCGGGCCGAGCAATTAGTATGCGCAGATTGCGATCACTCGGAAGTAATGCTAATTTCTGTTGTCTACCCGGTTACCCAAATGGGTACAAGGGTACATCTCGGAGGAGTGGGGATGGCTGTCCCCAGTGGGGCATATGTGATCGCTTCCTACTCTTTCAAAAGTGGGACTATGTCGATTAATTGCCTAAGTCGATTCTCAAATATTTGATTTAAGACCCCTTTTCTAGTCAGTTCATGAAGTTTTGCTTGTGCTATAGACAAAGTTAAAATTAAAAGACAATATTAAATGGAGTGCTTAAAACCGCAACTATTCGTTTAGTAAAAATGTTTAATACTTATAGTGTTTAGTTTATTTTTTTCTGCACTATACATAATTATTTCGATTTTAAAGTTCATGAAGTGTATAAAGTATTTACAAAATTTGTTACTACTGCCAAGTTTACAGTATATAATCCATTGTATAAACCAATAAATAAAATTAATAAAAGAAACTTAAAACTAAAATATTAAAATAAATATGTTACTATGTTATTGTCTAAAAATTTTAGATTTTAATGTATATAACTTATTGTATATTATAATTTGAATATCATATAGTCAGGTATTTTAATAATTTCTTTTTTATTTATTTTTATTAGGTACTCGCAAGAAATACGATATTTTGTGAAGGACAGAGTATCATTGGTCGGTCTTCCCTGAACTTTTTTCCCGCCATAAGTTAAGCTTTCCCATTTCTAGTTTGGCTTCCTCCTCGAATCCTTTGTCTTCGCATAGTCGCTGAGCTAGTTTTTCTAAGGTCCAGATACCCACTCGAAAAGGCCTGATGCATTGGCCCAGGAGATGTCATTAACATTAGACGGAGCAGGTGAATGAATGCAGCTGACAGATGAAGACAGTTGTGGGATGGAAAAAACGGGAGGATCTGGATGGAGTTGCAGGACGGGGAGAACTCCATTATGCAGGCAGCTTGTCTGTGCCATTAAGAGCGTTAACAGGAGGACATTAGTATCCTGTAGGCAACACCTGACGCAGCGGCAACTTCAACAAGACGAGGTCAACTTCAGACAAAGACATGCAAATGCGATTTGGGCGGGGGAAATGGAGAGCAGGGGAAAAAAAAAACTGGAGCCACTTGGGTCGCCTTGGAAAATAAGAAAACAACTTTTTGCGCTAAGCAGATGAAGGACATTTGCATATACGCCATGGATGGTACGGCAGACCTCACGCAGGCAGCGAAATCAAAAGCTTTTTAAAGGATATTCTCTATAATTTCACGCTTAAAAGGCGCAGTCCGAGTATCCTGCAAGCAGGATGTTTGCGTAGCGGCCCAGGGAAATGAAAAAAGTAGAAGGTACACCCCATTGCGAGAGCAGCCGTTGCTTTACCCACGTGCCAAGCGGCTTAACCGAGGAAGACGGGACTCGTCCTTCGTCCTGGGACATTTGCATGCGACTTTTAAATCAATTATTGTTAAATATTTATTTCTTGGCAGTCCATTTCGGCGGCAGGCGTGCTGGAGTTGTCTGTTGGTGGGCATATTATGCTAACATAAATTACATGATTGATTTCATTCGAAGGGCAACAATGGAACAGCTCACACACTTTTGGCCTGCCAAAACAATAGGGAAAAAAGTAAACAAAATGCAAATTCACTGGGGTTTTGGCTTGATTAAAAAGCTTAGAAATTAGCATATCATTTGTGCAGCTATTTGTTAGCGTTTATAAAAATATTGATTGGCTGCAAGGGGATGGTTTAAATGCTTTTTTTTGAGGCAATATATTTGGGTATTAAACGGAGAAGATGTTTTAACAGATAAAAGGAATTTTTAAAATACAAATAATATTCTGAATAAAATTTCAGCATTTTTATAAGTTTATAAATTTAATTTATATAATATTATAAAACTCCACCTTAAACCATTTATATTTATTAAGACTTTTACAAAACGTTTTATATTTTCAATTTATGTTATTTTCAGTTTTTTGCCAGACTTTAAATTTTAAGCTTAAATATTTACCATATTTATTTATTTATTCTTTTGAAATTATTGGTAAAATGTTATTGTTGTTATTAACATAAGGCAATGGCAACTTCTTGAACAAATTTATTTACTGTCTTATTTTTCTTTCTTCAATTTCCTAAGAAAATTACCTTTGTACCAAACTCATTTGGGACCAGGAACTTTCGCAAAGACTCCTGCCAACTTTTACCCAACTATATATTAAGCTACCTTGGCTCTTTATTTATTTTAATTTATTTCGTATTTTATTT